GTTTCAGTATCCTTTAATTAAAACGTTAAAATTAGAAATCATTTTATATTTAAATATTGATTTTTAAAAAATCTCATAGCTTTATTTATGCTATTGTAAATGAAGTGTAAATATATTAATGCCACTTCTGTGTCACCTCTGCACTGCAAAGATGGATTTTGATTGAATTAATTAATTTGACTGGTAGCAGTGGTACTGTATAATTATTGTATAATTAAGGATTATTGTATAAATAAGTATAATTATTGTATAATTTGAATGTTAGTATTTGACATAAAAGGTGATGCATAACTCTAAATAAGTTTAGAAAAAATGTCCATATATAGGTGAAAATGCCCCTGGAAATCAATTTAAGGTGGCAAATATTGCCCCTTAATTAAAAAAATTATTTCTGTCACTGCTGTGAACTGACCATATAATATGAAAAATATGAATATCTTCGTGAGTCAGCTGTCAACAACAGGCCTAAACCAGCCATGGCACCAGCACAAAAACACAATCAGTAAAATATCATCTAATTATTATCAACAAAACGTTGAAAATATTGAAATATATTTTTGTCAATATTGCACACCCCTAATGTACGGTATTAATTTTGATTTCTTTAGGTCTTAAAAAGCCTTAAATTTGACTTTAAAAAGTGTGCAGGAACCCTGTAAACGGTTAGACGTAGTTACCTAGAAAGTCAGTTATTTTCAGTAAATGAATTAATAAGGTTCTTGGTCCCCATTGCTTTTGCTCTATAGTTCTCAAAATGAAGAGAAAGAAGGACATCATGTCTATTACAGTTACTGTGACTAATACTGAATATGTAATGCAAATGTAAAAATATAATGGAAATGCAAATACATTGTTGAATGATTATAAACACGGTATTTTGCCTGTTAATGCCTGCAGCAGTGCAGAAAATGATAGGACAACAATAAGGTCTAAATGTAACTGGCCCCTCTAACAGTACAACTGGCCCCAGCTTGGCCCCCCCAGTTGAAATGGGCTAGAACCGCCACTGGTCCGATCTGAGTCACTTCCAAATGTGGTTTTAAATCAGATATCCGATATCTGGACATTCAGGTCTAAAAACACATATCCTATTCCCCTTTGAATACCAAGCTACTACAAGGCGAGGATGAGAATTATTCACAAAGATACACTGTAACTGGTTTGTGTAATTTGAACAGTAGCTTACTGTTACAGTAAGATACTGTAAAAGGTGTATACAGTATGTTACTGTAAACAGCAAAGGATTGTGGGAAAATATATGGTCACTACTGTAATAATCCTCTACTGTAAATCCATTTACAGTGGGGAACCTGCCCGCGAAAAACTGACCAATGCTGCAGTTGCTGCAACAATCGGTTTGCATAACCAAAGAGTTTCTGTATATATTTTTTTACATTACATTTACATTCATGCATTTGGCAGACACTTTTATCCAAAGCAACTTGCATTGCATTTAAGTTTAATTTATTCATTTTTATTAAGTTATTCATTCCCTGGAAATCTAAGCTACATGAATGTATTGTAAAAGAATGAAGCTTTAATGATTTGAATGTAATGGATTATGAGGTCATTATACCATACCTGCAGGTGCTTTCAGAATCAGATGTGGTGATTTGATTTCCATTACACGAGAGTAGATGTTAAAACTTCATGCTGATTTAACATGAAATTTCACTTCCATGAAAACATTTGCAACTATTTTGAAATTATATATATATTTTTTCTAATACTTATAAAATCTGGGGCTGTGATTATTTTTTTATTCACATTAATCACATACTGTGCCTATTAATTAATCAAATAAATCACAAGTTAATCACACATCAAATTTGGCAAAATTTTGAGCATTTATCACCGAGATTTAAAAAAATCATTATTGTGTTACAACAAGAAAAGCATAAAATATACATAATAAAAAGTAGCTTTAGAAAGAAATTTCTTATTTCATTCAACATAGAAGTTTTAGGCTATACAACGACCATGATTTTTTTTCAGAACCTGCATCTGAATTGGTAATTAGATACATTTACAGACTGTTTATTGCAGCTCAGAGGCATGAATGCATTTACACTGCAATTACAATTACATAAATAATGCCATTAGATTAATGGGTTTATAATGGGTATTAAAGTGATAGTTCACCCAAAAATAAAAAGTCTGTCATCATTTACTCTCCCTCATGTCAAATCAGACATGCATCACTGATTTTCTTCTGTAGAACACAAATGAAGATTGTAGGGGAATTTACAGTTAAGACCTGAGGACCAGATGATGAATGAAGACCAGGCTGCGTTCCAGTCCACTTTTAGACACGCACTTGCGAACTTCCCTAAGCACTTCCCCTCGGGGGAATCCCTGCCGCCATTTTGAAGTGCGTTCCACTTCGTGAAGTGGACGAGGGAAGTTTATATGGACAGACACTTGTTCCCTTGATTTTGACTGAGGGAGCGAGTCTACTTCATATGTACACTTCAGGCAGCTCCATATACCACAATGCAACACAATTGTGACGTCACCGCAGATCTCGTCTAATCACCACCACCACAAACAACTCTGATATATTAATTATATATATTTTTAATTTAAAACAACCCAAACACACCTATATACATATGGATGCTGCATTAAACAAATTCTTAAAGGAAAAAAAAATTTAAATAATAAATCAACTCCATGGCTGATTCCAAGTGATCAAGTGCTTAGGACGTTCCAATTCAGCCAATTGCAGTTTCCGCCAGTAGTGGGCACTCGTGCAACGTAAGCAATGACGTACATCCGAGTGAACAAGACACAGGGAAGTTAGCAAGTGAAGGGCATAACGATTTTGGACTGGAACGCAGCCCAGGATTCAGAGATAAAATCAATTCGCCTTTGGCTAGATTGACCAATCACAGCGTAGCCAAGAACGAGCTCCCACAGAGGTCCGACACTTTTTCACAGCGCTCCATTGACTTTAACACAGGCGTCTCTTAATATTTTTGTTCTCGGCAGGCTATTACCGTCGTAGTTTTATCAAAAATATGGTTAAACGTTGTGCCTGGGGCATTTGTAACACAGATACGCGTTTCCCAGAGAGGTTGGAGGGGGGTGTGCGCTTTTTTCCCTTCCCAAAACCGAAGTCAAATCCTGACAAGTGTCGTCTAGCACAAGCTGCTAACAAATACAACGTTATACTCGCGTAGTCCGTTTGCTTTGTAATAACGATTATAGAAGTGAATAGAGACCTACCCAGCTTTGCATGAACAGTGTTGCTCCTTGATATTGTTAGTCCCAGCCTCCGTCTCCATTAGTAGGATATGCGGTGGTTCATTTTTTGCCTCTATTTGGATGCCTTGTTGTTCCTTGCGTTTCACCTGTATGTCGTGAATATAGCCTTCAAACGTGTATCGCAGCCCCTTTTGCCTACTTCTATCGGACACTTTATTTGCTGCTTTATAAAAGTTTGATAAAATTTCAGCAGGAAGAGCTGTCACAGCATAAGCCATGTTCATACCAGAGCCCAGATGAAGTTTGTTTGTCGGACGTAGCAACAGTAACTAAGGGGGGCGGGGCTTAGCCAAAGGCGAATTGCAGAAAATGTTCCCAAAACATACTGATACTATATAATTTCTCTCAGTAAGAGGTTCAGACAATATTCATCATTATTCTCTAGAGATATAAGATGTAAAGTAAAGTAAATGCTTTAAATAAGAACTGGTCATGTAGACGACCCCGGTGACCTCAACTGTCGGGGTCAACTAGAATAGTCAATGTTGGGTGTCTCTCTCACAAACATGGAGAAAGCATGTTCCAGTGAACAGACATGTAATTCTATAACAATGTTAATCTCATAAGCTTGAAGAAGTCATTTAAATAATTTAATAGAAGGATAAACTGATTAATAACTTGAATACAAATCACTCAAAGGATATACATTGCAGAATCCACCCCTTCACCATCAGTGACCATATTGTGTAGGAACCATGAGAAAATCAAACTTATTTACCTGAGAGTTATGGTTCAGATTCAGAACATTAACTTAACACTTTCTGGCAATGCTTTTTCATGAGTGTGTAAATTGGATAAACTGGTGAAACTCTTCCCATATGAAGAGCACTGGTGCGGCTTCTCTCCAGTATGAACTCTCTCATGTGTTTTCAGGTGTCCTGACTGAGAGAAACTCTTTCCACAGTGTGAACACTTGTACGGTTTCTCTCCAGTATGAACTGTCTGGTGTTTTTTTAAGTTACTGGATCTAGTAAAACTCTTCCCACAGTCAGAGCAACAATGAGGTCTCACAGTAGTATGAATACTCTCATGCTCTTTCAAATGATGCAGTTGTATAAAACTCTTTCCACAAAATGAGCAGACATGAGGCTTCACACCAGTGTGAACTTGAAGGTGGGTTTTAAAGTTTGATTCAAAAACAAATGTTTTATCACACTGATCACAGCTGAAGGATCTCACTCCAGAGTGACGGCGCAGATGATCTCTGAGAACGTTTTTCTGGGTGAAACTCTTTCCACACTGAGAGCATGTGAACGGTTTTTCTCCAGTGTGAATCATCATGTGCACATTTAAGTGTCCTATCTGAAAGAAACTCTTTCCACACTGAGAGCATGTATAAGGTCTTTCTCCGGTGTGAATCCTCATGTGTATCTTAAGGCTTGTTTTATGTATGTAACTCTTTCCACACTCAGAGCAGGTGAAAGATCCTTTAACTCCAGCACTTTTCTGTGTGAAATTCTTTTCTGTCTGTGTAATGATGTTTCCATCTTCATTTGTAAAATTATCAGGTTTACGAACTTGTTGCTGTTTGTCTTCATTTACTTCCATCGGGTCTAAAACCAACCATGGTCCAGTTAGAGACAGACAAATAATAGAGAAAATCAGGGAGTCCAAATTTAGCACAAATCTAGTTTACTACTGAGTCTAGTGTCTAGTTATATATACATATATATGTGAGTTTTCATCTTAATGTTCCTCACCAGTCATTAAAGAGAATGAAGGAAAACACCAACCTATTTGTTCCTCTGTATCTTCATCTTTTATTCTGCAGGGTTCTTCCTTAATCTCCATCTTTACAATAGTATGTCCGTAGTTTCTCCTGGAGTAATTCCTCCTGCTTGCTTCTTCTTCTCCTGTGGGAAGATGGGAATATTCCCCAGCATTTAAACTCTCATGAACGGCTGTGGGAGCTTCACTGAAGGAGTGAATTGTGGTCGTTGTTGCTCATTTAGCAGATGATCATCACACTTAAAATCACTCGAGATTATCCAGCTTTAAGTGTTTTGATCAAACAGTCGTTTAGAAACTATTTAACTCCTCTAGCTGATTTTATGTTGCTCTTACATTAGATATGATTTACATGCATTAAAAACTGTTTACCAGGTTACATTACATAAAATTACAACACAACTCTCAAAATCTTCACAAATTGTAATGTGAAAACCCTGCCAGTTACGAGATTACGTTTCACGAGAGTAATGAACAACATCAGTCGATTCATTTCGATTAATTTCTGAGTGATTCACTAAATTAACTGACTCGTTTAATCGTTTGGATTTAGATTTCTCCTAATAAATGATAAAATGAATGTACTCACAGTCTGATAACAGCAGATTTAGAGCTGAATGAACGGCTGTGTTCCACTTCTCATGTTTATGTTCCCCTCCCTCGCTCACTTCTCTTCTTCTCCTAGACTCGGATGTGTGTCATTGCTTCGGTTGATCGAGCGCCTCTACTGGCGGATAACAGGAAATACGTCACTAAAGTGAAAGTGAAAGTTGCTCATTCAAAGAGATGCCAAGATATTCTAGCTGATCTTAAAAAGTTAAAATTCGTAATGAAATATAATAGATCTTTGTCTGTGTGATTTTTCACGTGCACATTTGTTTCCTTTATGAAAAAAAAAAAAAAAAAAATATATATATATATATATATATATATGTAGGCTATATATATATATATATATTAGGGCTGTCAAATGATTAATCACGATTAATCACATCCAAAATAAAAGTTTTTTTTTTACATAATATATGTGGGTGCACTGTGTATAATTATTTTGTATATATATAAATACACACACATGCATGTATATTTAAGAAAAAAATATTATTTATATATAAAATATTTGTAAGCAATAAGGTACGAGAGGCTGTGCTGTATCGTGAATAACCCAGGTGAAAAATAATTCTATTAAAAATATACTTTAATAAAGTGTACTAAGTATATTTTCTACATTTTGTACTATTTTCGTCAAATCCAAGTATAGTTAAGTGTATTAAATTATGTATTAACTTCAACTTAACATCTATTTGACTACACTTCAAGTGTAAATAGTATACTAAAATGGAACAACTTTTTTTAAACTTCAAGTGCACTAAAATACACTAATGAAAATCAAGATTTTAGGCACACTTACAGTACAATTGCATTGTATCGCCATTCTAATAAAAATACACTTAAAAAGGCATTGCAGTGCAAATTATAGTTGTGTTTAAGTACATTTTGTGCATACTGCTATCATACTTATAATTACTATAAACTATGTTAATTTGGTATGCCTCTGTAATATTTCAAGTGATCTACAAATGCCCTTCCTAACTAAATTTAAAGCTTTTAAAGTGTCCCACTATGACAATAATAATGTTTTTGAAGTGAATTTCAATTACAATCTAAACATCATAGACACGTACTTTCAGTGCAATGTTATTATACTGTAAGGTAGAAACAAATTGTTTGAAGTATATTTTATCTGTACTTTTATCCCCATTTTGTTATACTTAAGCATGAATGTTGCTATTACACTACAAGTGTATTATATTACAATTCAGTTCAAGTGCATTAAATCAACAGATTACAAATTGCATTTTAGAAAAGGATCTTTATTATTGACACAAAAATAACATACAAAAGCAGTTATTGGCAAAAGGAGGAACCTTGAACAGTCGACTTTCTCTGAAATGCCGGGAACAGAACAATGGCGAACAACATACTACACAATGCACATCTAGCTCTGACTTGAATTACTAGAGGCCTTGTAGCTCTCATTGTTGCACTTCCTTCGTAGAAGGGCCCGGATCTCTGCCACCTCGGTGTTGGGGAATCGCTCCCTCACTGCATCTGTGAAAACAGGAAAGAGGGCATGAATTAAAACAAGATGTATAACATTGAAATAGAATCATTGATGGTAATGGATTTGTCAATCAATCATGACAATGGATTTGGGTTCATAACTATGACATTACTGTACCTATAATTGCATTTGTTTTTTCTGGCTCAAGCTGCTCCTTCAGCTCGCCTTTTTTTCCTTTCCCTGTGAGGGTTGCCTTGGCCAAAGTTTCCCTGCCAAACACCAATGTGGCCAGTTCCTGTGTGAAGAGGGACATCCTCCTCCCACTCAGCCTCTGATAGAGGCGTTTTGGGACTTGCACTAATGAGTTGCCCAATGACACCTGTGAAAACACACAAGCAGATTAAGAAAAAAGGTAAATTACAAACACTTCTCTATAGGGCAGGTTGGCACGTGTCTTGGTTTCAAGTGTTTTAACACAAACCGTACCTCCACGTACGTAAGATTAGTAAGATTTATTGTGTGTAGGTTTATTGCACCCAATCATAACAAAGACAAGGATTGGTTTGAAATCATACCATGTCTTCTTCACTGCCAGTGTGACTGCCAGTGTGCGGTGATTCGCTTTGGCTGGAAGTCATGGAAGACGAAGGTGAATCTTCCATTTTGTTTAGGACTGTTTTTAGGGAAGACACCAGTCCTGGTAGCTCTAAAATAAGGATATAGTATAAAAAGGGTCAGTATCACATTATGACACAAAGAATAAGTATCACATTGTGACACAAAATAGCACCTATTTAAATGTCATTTTACAACAGCTACATTGGATTTAACTTTTATTTATTTCTGATTGGATGAGGATCCTTACTCATACTTTTCACCGCTAGCATGCATGTCTGACATGAATGTTCCACTCACTCAAAGGCCTCGTTTACACTGCAGGTCTTGATGCCCAATTCTGATTTGTTGCCTATATCCGATTTTTTGGACCGTCCGTTTACACGTTCTTTAAATTGTGACCCATATCCGAGTCATGTGTTTACACTTGACTGAAACATCGCGCATGTTTAAAGGGGTCTTCTTGCACAGATGGACGAACGCGCAGCGAGATCTCAGGACTGGTGGGAACATACAACACGATCTCATGAAAGTGAATATAGCACGAATTTTATTTCTCGTGCCATTTATAGGCTACGCCAAAAATAGTTTTTGCTTGCATATGATACGCACTGTAAACGTGCGTATTTAACGCCATAAACTGCGTATCATGCACGCAAAAACTATTTTTGGCGTAAATGGCACGTGGGGGGAAAAAAATGTGCAATATACGCACTTTCATGAGATTGTGGCGGGCTTTAACGAGGCGCAGTGGGTCTGAAATTTTAGGATGAGCAAGCCAACCTTTGATATGTTGTGTCAACGTGTGTCCACATTCCTCTCCTATGACAACACAATGTTTCGTCGGGCCATCCGTCCATCATCCGCAGATGCGCATCTGGGGTTCTCTCGTCATTAAACCGTGGAGACGCAGCCTAATGCCTCGGAAAATCCGATCTGCCTGTTTACATGACAGTCGCATTGGCACATATCTGATTTATTTCCACATATGAACGAGGCCTGAAACCGATCTCGAAATATCCGAATGCATGCGTTTTTTTCCTGTTTACACGGTCATAGAACACATCCGATCTGTGTCGCATATGAGTAAAAAATCGGAATTGGGTCACATTTCACTGACAGTGTAAACGAGGCCAAAGTGACAGGGCAGTAATTCCATTATTGAGTATGAAGATGGAGTAGGGCGAATGTTCAGTTTAGCTTGTGAAGTACCATATACCCGAATATAAGACAAGGTTTTTGTCCTAAAAATAGGCTGAAAAATGGGGGGTCGTCTTATATTCGCGATATAGACAAATCACGGGGGGAAAGGGAGAAATTACTTGCCAAGCATTTCCGTGAGCTACTTTATTTGTGTATAAAGTAAAACAAAATTAAGAAAAGTTACAAAACAGACTTAGAATGGGCAGTTTAAACGTTTAACATATTTGTAAAAGATTATATTTCAAAAGTAGGCTACCTCAGACAAACAGGTGAAGCGGTCCGCGCGAGGAAACATCACTGTAGCACGTGCTCTTCACGTGCAAAGAGCGCGTGACAGCCTCCCTCCAGGGCGCGCGCGCCTCTCTATCTATATATATATGTGTGTGTGTGTGTCTCTTTTCCGCCCAAAAATAAGTCTGGAAAAAATGGGGGGTCGTCTTATATTCAGGGTCGTCTTATATTCGGGTATATACGGTATAGAGAAGCAGAGGGTTCCCAAGTTAAGTCAAATGTAAAATTGCATTACTTTCCCAGACAAATTTTTTTTAACTTCCATGACCAACTATGAATGGTGCAATAAACTAACTGACCAAAGATTTCAAAGCACCCTCGTAGCGTTCAAGCATCTTTTACTTTTTAGAGTGGGAGATGAATAAATGGTCATTGAATTTGAAAGTTGGGTTAACCACAACTGCTCAAGCAAGCAGTAAAGCTAATAACCAGATATACACAAATTTTGTGTGGAAATATATTTGTATTAATGTATTTTGGCAAGACAATTTTAAACTGCTAAAACAAAAATCCCTGATATTCATGACTTTGCCCCAAAAAATAACAAATTTCCTGACTATTCCTGAAAATCCATGATATTACAAAAATTCCATGACCTGAGGGAACCCTGCAAGCAACTGCTGCAAATTCGTCTGTAAATAAGACCATATAGCCTGTCTCACTGGACCCTTCTCTTGACTGATATGTTGCGATGCTTGGCAACAGAGAATGGAAGATTACAACTATTTCTTGAAGTGGATGAAATAAATAAGTCTACATAAATGATTGAAAACGCAGTTTTAAATCTTTAATCGCAATGGAAGGGGAAGAGATGTATAAAAGCAGTATGACACTTGTGGTCACAGTATTGGTACCTGCGCCACTCTGCTAGAGGCCTTGTAGTTATATCCGTACCACTTGAGTTAAGTGGATTATTTTCAAATTTGTAATGTGGGAAGCCAGGTCTGTATT